AACGTTGAGTTTACTTTTCCTGATTGTTTAAACTTTCATTAGTTTTTGCGTTTTTAAACTGGTAATTAATTTATTCAAATTTATGTGAGCTTTAAACGTATCTTTGCTAATCCCATGTATTGATTAAGCATAGTGACGACAACCTGAGCAAAATTAATGAAAAGACAAATCAAGCATAACTGACAGATAAGCAAAGTGCGAAGATGGCTAGATCAGATATAGTTTCAACATCTGTCATTATATTGGTGACTCTCAGAAACTAGTAAAACTGACAACGTACCAAAAAGATTTTAAATGATAGAAAGACCGAAAACTTTTGTTCTACGTTATGTTCTATCTTTCGCTTGGACCTACGAAGACCACCCCTTTCTCCCCTCCCCCACAAAAAAAAAACAAAAAAAAAACGATGACATGCTTTTCAAACAAAACTTCTGCTGCATTCAGAATACGACCGAACGAATTGAATATGTTGCAGCTTGATATGCTCTAGTGCGCAGCAATTGTGACTGCAGGAGCTACCAGCCTCAGATTAGCCTAATAACCACTGTATTTATACGTATTAATTGTTGCATTAGTTCTGCCATTTCGAGGAGTTTCTGTCGAGTTTATGATTCTTTAGTACTCGATAGTTAATAAAGTCATAAATCATTGCCAATATTTTTCTTGTCATAGCACATATAAGTATTGTATAAAGATCTTTTGATGAAAAGTGTTTGGAGAAAAATCGAATTTCTAAAGAGATTGTTGGGAACTGAGCGATACCGCTAGCAGTAGGAAAAAATACTTGATGATTTTCAATGTAAGGCAAAGATTGAATAGTAATTATACGAAAAAGTGTTCAATGGATATCTTAAACGCCAAGCCCTACTCAGGGGAAAGGTCAACATCTTCTTTCTTCGTGCATAAGGGGAGACACGCCCCGGCAGGAGGTCTCCGATTGAACCTCACGAGAACGAATATCCACTTGAACCAGGAAATTGCGAAGCCCCTGTTGAACCTGTACAAATACATGCAAACAGGATAAGCATCGCAGTGGTGTTTGGTTGAAGCACGTTTTTTCCACCAAGCTAAAACGATTTAGGGCCCTAGTAAGAAAGAAAGAAAGTGCTTTGCTCTGGTTATTATGCCATAAGTTGCATCAAAAATTGCACAGAAACTGTTTGATACAAGGAAAGCAAAACATGAGACAAAAAAGTGTTTGCTAATCGGAGACCTGAGGTCTCCCGTAGGTCTCCGCCTGAGACCTAAATCACAAAGAGGTAGAGCAATTTTTTCATTCTCACAATTTATCAAAGATTTTCCATTTCTCTACTTCTTGTTTCGCATCTTTGCGCCAGTATTGATGGGTGTTCGTCTTAGAAAAACCGGTTTTTACGAATATTGTAGAAAACATTCATTTCCGCGTGAACGCCGGATTGGAACAAAGATCGGGTCCGTACTGAAGCATATTTTTGAATGGTAAGTGTGTTTGGGATTGATTCAACATTCCTTTTGAGGGAAGGATCGGAATTGATAAAACCCCAGGTTCCACTTTGGACGCTATACGATTTCCCCTTTGCTTTTTTCCACAACAACAAATCTCAGCTTGCCCTTCGACCGAGACCTGCCGCCGAGGTCTGAAAGGAGAGGATATCTTTCTTGGGTTTATCTCGAGTTTGAAGGATAACCCCAAGCAGTACAAAGACAAAATCTACGCGATTATTTAATGCGCTATGGACGCCATAAACGCTAACTTTTCTCAATCTATTGCAAGCCACGAATCACAAATCATCGAATCCGTCGATCTTTGATGCACAAGAACGGAAGAAAGCGAAGACTGCTCCGTTTCTTCTTCTCTCCTCCTTTTTCCTATTCTCCCTTTCCTCCCCCTTTCCTCCCCTCCTCTGCCATAGCACCTTCAGAGAATCACGTCTACCTAGATACTTAGATGGCCTAGGCACCAGCATTGTTTCCATCCGTTTCTGTTCCTCGCCCTTATCCATGATATTGGTATTGAACCGCGGCGGCGACGTTCGCGAGATCCAGATCCAATACGCATCACTAGCTGAGGTTTCAGCTTCCATCTGTGCAACGATCACGTCAGCCATCTGATCGGTTGCCTCCCGCGAGAACGTTTTGCTTCGCGAGTGATCCACTCCAGAGTTCTTTGTGTTCACTGTCCTCTGTTCTTCTCATTATACGACCAGTCCATCGATGTTTTGCCTTCGCATATCTGAACTGAGAGCTGTCGAGTGCGTCGGTTGTACTTCAAAAGACGTCGTTCCAGCGCTCTATCGGTTGTTCGAAGTGCCTTCGATGTAGCCACAGTATCAGACTTCTGCTGCATAACAGAGCGCAGGAGAACGGTTGATCAAACAGATGAGCTCGGAGTTCTGGGTTCGTCAGTCTGTGGCTTCATTTAAAGGACTGAATATGGGCCAAGCTGCTCTTCCCCTCCTGTTTAGTCCGTTCTCCATGTACATCGAACGCCCGAGATTACATAAGAAGACGCCTTCGCGATTTTAGAGCCTTTCAGTTCCATTTCCTGATTCTCGCAAGCGTTCTTCGTGAACTGAGTCTTCTTCCGGATGATTCGCAGTCCTATCAGCTTCTCTACTTCGCTTAGTTCCTTCAACATCGTCTCCGCTCCATTTGATACTTCTCGAGAAGAGAATAATGTCGTCCACAAAACGAAGGTTCGAGAGCATCTATTATCTCGTATACACCTCTCGTTCCAATCCAGTGATTTCATAACCCACTGCAACATGGCGGTGGATGGTGGCTACAAGGTGTCGCCTCATCGGATTCCTTTCAAAATTGGTATGTTAAGTAGCGATGGAAAAGCTGTACCGTTGTA